TCCTTTCCTCCCTCTCTCACAGTAACCACAAAGATCTGTCCGGCTAACAAACCCCTCCCTTCTTGCAGACACCGTCCTCTTCCTCCTCAGCAGCTTGACCATCATCGCCACCGTTCTCTACCTGCCCCAGCACATCGCCTTCCTCATGAGCCGCGCCTGGTTCTACATGCACGGCGACCCGATCGACGCCGTCGTCGATACCGTAGTGGACGCCGTCGAGTTCACAAAGGCCGCCGTCGAGAGCGTGCTGATGGCCGAGAAGACGGGCACGACTGCGGCCGCGCTGGCTCAGCAGACTGTCGAGCTCGTCAAGGAGTTGTAAAGACTTTTTTTTTTTCGCTTCATGAAGGAGGGGCTTGTGCATCCCTTGCCACGCAGGCAAGCTGGCAATTTCCATGACATGACAACGATGCATGCCGAATGAACGAATGGGAAGGAGAGAGTCAGAGAACCAACGAGGGAGCGGGAGAGGAGGATCTTAATGGCGAGACATGGACCACCGGACCGCCCGATGAAGAGCTCGAAGGGCGTGTCGCATGTTGCGCGCGGAAAGTGTCGTTTATTCGCTTCTGGTGCGGGCGTTTCATTGGGGGTTTCTTTTTTAATATGAACCAGGTGCATTCAATTCAGGTTCGGACACGAAAAGGCATATACATATATACACTATAAACTCGCAATACATGCGGCGACGCGTGTCTTTTAATTCATATCCATTCATATATGCATAGGACTCGGATCTCAAGCGTCTTTTAGGTGTCTACTCGAGGATCAACGAGTGCTTCAAAAACGTAAACTTCATTTCATTCATTCGTCGGACTTGGACGGCGCGCCTAGTCCTGTGAAGCTGTATACGCGCAAGGAACTATCTTCACCTGCGATGCCCAACTCGTCTATGCTGCCATCGCTCTTTGATGGTCGCCATGCGAGTTGAGAAACGGGTTTCGGGAGGCATAGGCTTCGAGAGAGGTCAGCTACCATGTTCAAGTTACGTTAAACAGAATGACGAGGGGAAACTCACCTCGACGCAAGCTGGAGTGTGCCGACCGGCTGGAAAGTGTCAGGGGCCAGCGTGCAAAGAGATATCTTGCCAGACTCGGTGCCGACCGCAAGGACGAGCTCGCCACCGGCGCCCCGTCTGCCGAGGAAGTCGACGGCCGTGACGGGCCCGTCAAAGGCAATACTTGAAGCCAAGGTGAACTCGGTTTTGCTGACGCCTTGCTCATCCTTTGCGGCCTCTTTGCCAACCCAGACCTTGGCGTTCTTGTCACGTCCCGCTGTAACGAACACCCTACTGCTATCACCATCACTCAGCGACAGAGGCGCCCACGCGGCGTCGAGAATCATGCGCGTGTGGCCCTTGGGGTTCGCCTGGAGAAGGGAATACTGCTGCCCATCTGAGAATCATGCGCGTGTGGCCCTTGGGGTTCGCCTGGAGAAGGGAATACTGCTGCCCATCTCTCCCGCGCTCGAAGACGGCCCACTGCCGGTCTCTGCCCACGCTGAGGAGGAAGCGGTCGTCCGGGGAGAACCGCAGCCTCGTGGCGGTCAGGGTGTGCGCCGCCAGTGGTGGCCTGACCTCGGTCCAGCGCTCCGTCTCAAAGACGCGGATGACGGCATGGTTGAGAGAGCTCGCCTTGCAGGCGCTGGCGATGAGCTTGCCGTCGTAGCTGGCGGCTAGGCAGGAGATTTCATAGCCGTGGCCGTAGAGCTTCTCCGTCTCTGGCCAGAGAGTATGCCGCGAAAGGGACTCTTCAAAGGGCGGGTGGTCAATGTCGAGCATGGACTTGCGGACGACAGTGGCCGGGTCGACGGCCTCGCGGTCGTACTGATCGTCGGCTTGGACTTCCTGGTCGTCGTCGACGGCGTCGATGGCCTTGTTGGAGAGACCTAGCACGGGCATGTTGGCGCCGTCTGGCATGGATTCCGTGGGTGCGCCGCTCTCGATTCCGCCGAGGGTCTGCAGCATTTTGGCGACGGCGCGTGGCTCACTGAAGACACGCATGAGCTTCTCGTCTGCACCTGAGACGAACTGAGAGGCGCCCAAAGTGTCGATGCAGTTGAGGTCGTAGCCGTGGATCTGGGGACGGGACATTTCGTGCCACGAGCGGGCGCCAGTGACGGCATCGCCGCGCTTCCAACGTGAGTGGAGACGTGTTGTCTGATCCGAACTCGTGGACATGAGGTAGTCACCGTCGCGGGACCATGCGATGCCTGTGACGGTTCTGGTGTGGCCGCTGACGGCGATGGCGTTCCTCCACTGGTCGCGCTCGTTGTCATAGACCCAGCGACGCCAGCTGCCCGTCCGGCCCAGGCAGACGACGGACTTGCCGTCGGGTGCCCAGAGACCTGTCCAAAATCCGCCGATGCTTCCCGTCGCTGTCGTCGCGCCCTTCTCTCTGCTGATCTCGCCTAGCCTAACCATGCTGACCCAGATACCGGAGGTGCTGTCGGCCTCCCACATGGCGAGGGAATTGTCTGCGGAAGTGGAAAGTAGCTGGAGCTTGCCTTCGTGGCTAGTGAACCACTTTGCGCTGTAGATCCAGTCTTCGTGGCCGAGAAGAAGGGCCTCGAAGGTAATGGAGAAGTCCTTGCCGGCGGATTGAAGCCGGTGGACCTTGTTTGAGGGAGACTTGCCCGGCAGATAGGCACCGCTTAGAGGATCTGAGCCTTCCGCAGCGAGTGATGGCAACTCCTTGCCCAGGTGCAGACGCCAGAGTCTGACGTACTTGTCTTGACTCGCCGAAGCGAGGAGCAGGTCACTATTCGCCTCGGTCTTTTCCCACGTGAACTCCAGGGATCGTATCCAGCCTTCATGACCTGATAGGGTAGCCTGAAGCTTGAAGTCGACGGTCTCGTCGTCAGCAGCGGCGACGAATATTTGCACAAACGTTTTTGTTCCTGCTGCGGCCAAGACAAACACATCTTCGGCCTCGTCGAGCGCTGTGAGAGCCAAGCACAGGGGGAAGTACTTGGGGGCGGTTTTGATAGTCTGGCGCAGCTGCAATTGGTTGCCGTCAAGCTTCCAGATCTTGATGGTTGCGTCGGCAGCCCCTGAAGCTAGAAGAACCTGCTTATGGGTCCCCTTGGACCGCAGGATGGCGATGCAGTTCACGGGCGCCGAATGATCGTGGACCGTCTGAATGCACTCCCATTGGTTCGTCTTTGAGTCTACTGCCCAGACCTTGAGTGTTTGGTCATCTGAACCACTGATGAGGAGCCTGCGATCTTCACCGTCCACTTGGGGCAAGAATTTGACTGCTTTGACAACCTCCTTGTGTCCACTTAGAAGAGTTGTGATGCCCTCTGAGTTTTGTGACTGATTCATGAACCGTCAGCATCGATTCATCAAGCAGCGAACTGGGGAAAGGGCTTACAGACGGCGCCCACAAGGCGATGTTGCAGTCAGCGCCAAAGGCAAGAAGACCACATGGGCTCCAGTCGGCGACCGCAGTCTGCCTGTTGGCTCCTGTTGACAGATACTCTGTTGAGGGCTGTGCGCCAGCCATATTGTCTCTTTCTCTTCGTCTTCTTCGTCGTCGCTTGGAGATGCTGCGTCGAGGAGTGACTCTGAGGGTTGACAAAATGCGGCGATGTGATTGGCTCACGGGTCACAGTCAAGAGGTGAAGTTGAAAATTTCTTAGTGGGGGCGGGGCATCTCTCTCGGGGGGGCGCCTGTTTGCCTGCCCGCCTTACAGCGCTTGAGCCGCCGCACCGTTGGCTCCACAGGTATCCGGTAGAGGCTTGCGCTTGCCATCGGAGCGCCTAGCCCGACTGCCTGATCCGTGTGCTCAGTGCCTTCCCCTCCCCCCCGAACACTGGACAGTGTACCTAACCTAAGGTATGGAAGGTACCTCGTGCCTTACAGACGCCTGACGTGCCATCCATCCTTCCTTCCATCGCATCTTTCTCACACTTGTCCGTGCCGTGCCGCGCTTCAATCTGACAAGCAAACAAACTTTATTACCATTACATCTCACATTCTTCATCTATTCTCCGACGTCTCGCAGCTGCCGGCACTTTGGGTATCGTGGGAGATTTATAGTACCAAGCCTCGCAAAAGAAAAGAAATGGCCGCAGAAGCTGCAGATGCGGGGGAGAAGATCGCCGTCGTCGTTGAGTTCTCGTGAGTCTCTATTCTCCGCTCACCTCTCTGCACTCTCATCTCTCTTCTATTCCATCCTGTGGCTCAAGCAAGGTGTTTCTTCTGGACCGGTCCCGTCTCCCGGACTTTGGCCTGAGACTTTTCCACGCAGGCTGACGGGGTCGATCCGAGGACGATTTCATTTGTATCTTGCATAGATCATTCAGGTACGAATGCATAACTGACGTGGGTAGCGGCGGCCTGGAGATGCTCTTCTCTGATCAGCGGCGTCACGCTCTCTCCATCCCGGCGGTGAACAAAGACGGCAAGCCCGCAACTATTGCCTTTCTCATCAACTATCTCTGCGGGAACACGATGAAGGACTCCAGAAAGGAGCTTTTCGTCCTAGATGGTCATCTGTACGTCTTAGAGTCGCATCACCCACGCGCCGTCCCCATCCTTGGGCATATCTTCATTTCGGCCTCGCCTGGCTCTCTGTTTCTCTTATTCTCACCCCAATATTGCCTGTCCTATGCAAGCCGTATATCGCCACTCTGGAGTCTTTCTCAAAATCTGCGATGAACGTGCAGAGTAGCTATATTGGATGCAACGCTAATGAGGTCTCTCTAGTCGCCCTGGCATCCTTGCCCTCATCAATGACGCAGACTGGGAGCTCGAAGGAGAGGAGGCGTACGAAGTCCAAAACGGTGACAATATCCTCTTCGTCTCGACGCTTCATGGAGGTTAGATGGAGAGGGGGGCGTGGGTGACCTTTTTCGCTGGCCAATGACTCCTCCTTTCAACATGAGGGGCCCTGCAAGTGTTGCGGCCGTATCTCTGGGTCCCTGGAACTAGCAGTATGCATCTTCCCATTCTCAAGCCTGCTGCCTTTCCCCGGGGGTCCGGCACCGATAGAACGACGTTGAAACCCAGACGCCCCTCCCCTCTCTCGCTTCGTGCAGCCGCATTGCATCGCATCGCATCGCCTCGACTAGTCTGCGGCCGTAGCCGTTGACCCGGCGCCTCTCCTTCCCCCGGCCCCGGCGCAGCGGGGAGATGCAACTCGTGCTTCCGCCGTTGGTCTAATTACACTACTACAACTACACCGCAACCCTATGGACACATCCTTTCGCCTTGCGCGCCGTCGACGCAATGAAACGTCCCGGGAGATATTAACCCCTGGCCCCCGCTGCCCTGCAACTGCCACCACCTTGCTTGCCGCATGTCTCGTGGCCGCATCGTGGCGGCAGCTCTTCACCCCTCGTGTTCCCCTTGCACCTTGGCTTGGCTCCCCCGGTCGCCCCGAGTTGCTTTCGCCATCATCTAATCTCTCCTAGTGAACAACGGTATGCAACGTCGATGATGACACGCCTAGCGGGATGAGCCTCCGGGAAGCCTGTCAAAGTCGCATGCCCTGCCGCGCGCCACCCTGAACTATCACGAAACACGAATAGCGCAACTCCGGCAAGACTAGGAAGTCTGTTGGCGCCACGCAGGGCGAATGTCGATGGTCGGGGCGGTCAAGGGTTCACGTCCAATTGTTCACTAGCTTTGCGGCCGAGAAGATGGAGGATTGGACTGGATCAGCGGGTTCCATATCTGTACATCGACGCTGCTGCACCGTAACGGGCAACGGAAATGTGCCACAATGCACCTCTAAACGAGGCCTTCAACAGGAAGCTTCTGTTGAGCCGCCAGCCACAAGCCCAGCTCGCTTGCTCGCAGCGAGGGGCGCAAGATTACCGGCCCCTCCATCCTCCGGACCCTTCCCCCGGCGTGCGGGCACTTGAAGACGGAGGCGGTGAAGAAAGAAGGGGTCCGTCACGGTGATCCGATGGTGTGCATTTGCAGCTGTGATGATGCAGCCCGGCAAACCCTTCCCATCGCTCTCTCTGTTTGGGGAAATTTGATATGCTGCGCACGTACATTTGTGCTCTGCGCTGCACGTCTTCGGCTCCTCACTGGGCTGCAGGAAAAAGCAAATGGGGACAGTTGCGTCCCGCGCGTGCGATCCCAATGGCCCAAATCCGCTCTCCACCCTCTCTCTCTCTCTCTCACACATACACACACTATTTCGTCTATGTATGTACGTATGGATACCAAATAATTACAAAGGGGACCAGACAGGGAAGAAAAATAAAACACACAGGCTCCATATGTTCTCGAAGGAATCAAGGAACTCACGCCCCGTCTGCAGATACGCACGTAGCTGTAGGACCCCCACACACATGGCAGACACTTCTCGTAACTTTTGCTGGAAATGGACGAATACCCTCTTTTTTTCTTTAATTCCCTGGAGATGTCTCTGATATCCCAAATGTCCAAGACTCCCAAGATTGCTACCGTCGTATCTGCGGAGAATACCGTACCTACTTTAACGCAACGGCACGAGGGCCGGTTCATAACGTTCTTCTACTAAGCATGTTGGGATGTAAACTGTGCCCTGTTCAAGCTCAGGCGAGAGGGGCGCTAGAGACACGACCTTTGTGGAACGTGAGAATGGGGTGAGCGGAACGTAAATAGCAATACAACTGAGACTAGCTTGCTTCACGCCTTGCAGGAGTTGGGACCTTCTGCGGGTGCGGTTTACTATTTACTATTTAGGTACTAACACTGCTGCTGCTGTTGACTCGCCTGTCGGCCCTTCTCAGGCGGCTGTTCCAGATCCTGCTGGCGGTTTCTATGTAATGCCACTCGTACCATAACGAATAATGTAACAGCAGGATGTGGAACCTTTTTCTAAGACTTGCGAGTAAGGAACACTATGGCAATGGAAATACGTTTGAATATCATGCGGCGAGGTGTTTGAGGGTCAGACATGGGGAGAGATATGAGTCGTCCGGCACGTGCTGGTTTCTCCGTGTCACGTTCCACAAATGGACTTGGCTTTTCGGCAGTTGTTTGTTTGCTTACTTTGATGTTTGATGGAGGGATGAGTGATGTAGGAAAACTCGCATGTAGAGACGCCCACGTGAGTATTTGACGCGAATGGGACAGATGTTAGACGAAACGATTTGAGGTTTTCGTTGCGTTGTTGATAGAAGGCGTTGTTTTTTGAAACACTGTTCGAGGAGTTTATCGATCATGAGTTGATTTTTAACAAAGCCGAGCTGAATCTATAGTCACAGAGGCATAGTGTAGCGTATCTTTTATGGCAAGCCATTTATATATTGTGAAGATTTGCATCTGCATGTCTTTTTTTCCCAGAAAGAAACTCCTGCTAGAACTATAGCGATAGTTTCTTGTTGCTCGTTTGCGTAGGTTGTGGAGGTTGAGTTCGAGCAGGAAACAAATGATAAGTCGAGCACTAGATTCTGGCCGGCAATAATTGTATATCATCAAGTAAATCACTGCGAGCTTCTCTTGGATATAGTTTACTTGAAGGGAAGTATTTGTTCTGTGGCCGACAATAGACGTTTTTGATCTAGAGCAATCTGAACACTACCATCAAGGTTATAAACTAGCGTAAAGTTAATTTTGGAATTCTCCTTAATAGTTGATGCTAACTGTCAAGCTTCACTACATAGTACCTAATCATCACTGGGAAATCATTCCTTAAGTAGAGTTGCTCACTAGACTGCGAGATCGAAGAGTCTCTAAGTCTAACACTCGATATTTTGGTGTATAGAGCCTTGGAAAGTTAGTAGTATTGAATTACAAAGACTGATAAAGCATCCATTGGATCTCCTAGAGAACTCGTTTACATACCACACCAACTGCATAATCCCAGTCCCAGAACACAAGATAGAGGATTTTTCTTATTCAAGAAATATTCACTTTCTACATTAGTTCTTGACAATTTCTATGTATGTATTCTCTTCATGAGTTGCTGGTCTCACCGTTCACATCAGAAGTTGTAGCTAATTACCAAGTCACATCACCAGAGTCTAACTACATGTTTCTTGACAGTCACCTTCCCCACACAAATATTCCTAGCGCCTCATGAACAAGAACAAACTTATTCCCAGTTTCATCTCATGCCGAACCCGTGACATTGAACTTCTCAGCAAAAGGATCCCAACTCGCATCCGCATGCCTCTCATACTCCATCAAATCCGCAATCGACGACGCCTCCTCCCTGCCGTACACCTCTTCGATGAAAGCCAGCGTCGCGTCGATGCCCGCAGACACACCCGACGAAGTCCACACGTTGCCGTCGACGACCCAGCGCGCTTTCGCCACCCACTCGGTCCGAGGCCCGTGGACGACGGTGCTCGCCCACGAGGCCTTGTTCGTCGTCGCGCGGCGGCCGTCGAGCACGCCGGCGCGTGCCACGACGGAGGCGCCGGTGCAGATGGAGATCAGGTAGCGCAGGTTCGGGTACGTCGTCTTGATGTAGGAGATCGTGGCGTTGAGGTTGGGCGAGCGCGTCCAGAGGCCGCCCGGGACCATGAGGACTTCAATGTCTTTTGGGGCTGTTGCGTATGTGTGCGTTGGGAGGATTTGGGGGAACTGTGCGTCCGGCGGAGGTCGTTCACGTCAGCATTGGGCGGTCGAAACCTCGGTGCGGAAGCTGATGCTCCGTTGAAAGAGGGGAACGGCTGCTTCAACCCCGGAAACAACAGAAAGAATCAGGGGGTCGTCACTTACGAAACTCGAGTTTTTGGCATTCATGGCAGCGGAAACGGGCTCGACGGTGACGGGGTCCATTGTCTCGGAGATGAGATATAAGTTCATTTGGTGGTTCTTGGCCAGCAATCCGAGGGCGTCAAGGGGTCCAAAGACATCGAGCATCTCAAAGGCCCGGTTGATGATCATGCCGAAGTTTCTTGGTAGGGGTTTTGGCGTGGATGTAGGAGATGATGATGTCGCGCTGGTCGTCGAAGGGCGAGGGATGCCTTTTTGGGACATTGTCAGTAAGAGGGCCATGCAAATTAATCCACCGAGGGTTCAGAATCGAACTGCAGTGAAGAGGGAAGCACTTACACTCCCTGACCTTGGAAGAGGTCTGAGTTCCGTTTTGTGCTGCGGTCATCGTGATGAGATAGACCAGTAAGAGCCCAATCACCCAGATGGAGCGTCGAGGTGAAACATGGGAGAGGAGCATCCTGACGAAGGGATCTGATGATGTATATTCACCAGCTGAATCAACATCAACGTAGGGAACTAACAATGCTTCTACTTACGACACGGTGATATTTCTACCGGGGAAGAGCAAGCTTATATCGCGACGCGCGCTGGGACGTCCTCCCATGCTTACATGCCTTTCCGTGGCACAGGGAAGAGGGGTCCCTAGCTTCACCTGCAGAGAACTCATCCCTAACACTTCATCTAAATGTTTCCAGGAACAGAATCCGTAGATCCGGGGCGTTGTTGACAGTTTGCCGTAGATGCGCGTCCTCCATCCCGTCCGTCATCAGTGAGCCGGGGTTAGGGTAGGACCATGGTGTTGTGCAACAATCTGATTGGAGAAATGTTTTCCAAAAAGGTGCTCGCTGATGTGTTCGATAGATCAATTCGTTAAATCTCTAAGGTGGCATATCTCATCGGCCTAGATCCGCCACTAGTAAGGATCGAATGTTTTCTGAGTGTTTGCTCAAAGAAGGATGCAGCTTGAACCTCTTGGCGCGCTCTTTTGAGAACATTACCAGATTGGGTAATTTGCTCAAGACCCTTGGAATGTTTGTAAAGTACAGTGACTTTAGCGACCTAGAACTGGGTCCGGCAACAGGGAATAAGTATAGAAACATGAGCAAGTATTGTTCCAAGTATGCTTGATTGAAGATTAGACATTTTCGTTCGAAAACAAAACATAAAAGCGTCATAAAGAAAACCCCGCCTGATATAACACCCCAGTTTCCCATTTGTCCAATTCACATGCTCTTACTTGTAGGTACTCCATTATCTTTATTCATACCCCATTTTCAAACAAACGTCTCCACAAAGCGATGATAAAAAATCATACCTAGCCAGCCGATGACTGGGAACGCAGCCAGCCTCCGGACCCAGTCGAACCGTCTCTTACCCTTTGCAGCAACCCTAGGTCTCTGAGTTGGGGCCGGTGCAGAGGTAACGACAGGTTTCTGGGCAACGGCCACGGGCGCCACGACGACTTCTTCCTGTTCCTTCACCGTTTTCTCCACCTCACTCTCCTTAGAAGCTGCAGAGCCACTTTTCTTCGGCCGGAGGACGAAGCAGGGCGCATTCTTGGTAGAGACTTCACCGGTCACGGCGCCCAAGCTGACTGCCTGGCGCGGTACACTGGCCTTGGTCACGAGGAGATAAGGGCTGCTCTCCACCTCGACGACGCAGTTGTGCCACGGCGTCGGGATATGCAGCAGGTCACGGGAGGTCATTGGCGTACCGTCCGGTGAGAGGCCCTCGACCGCGCGGACGACGGCGGGGTCGAAGAGTTGAATCCCAAATTTGGGGCCGGCGTTGTTGTGACTATTAGATTGAGAATTATTAGACTCAAGCACGAAGGCGCAAAGAGAATTGTTTGGAGTAGAGCGTACGCATGAATAGAGAGACGGACGTGATTAGGAAGAAGCAACTCAACCAGATTAGAGTATGCTTGGTTTCTCTATTTCCTATAGTCAGCAATCTGAGACAAAGGGGAAGCACAACGCAATATTATTGGTGCAGCAATTCAAGCTTACCATAATCATCTCAAACGCCACCTTGGGCGACAACTTCTTCCTCTGACTTCGCGTCATGCCCAGAGTGAAAGGGTGAAGCTCGAGGTCCTCCAGCATGAATCTCGAGAACCCACGATACAGAGCTAGGATGGCCGGGTTCTGCGACTTGATCTTGGCTCGCACCGCAGACTCTTGGGGCTGGCAGCCAGCCATGAGGATCCGTCTGCAGAGCTCTGCCTCTAAAGTCAGCTTCGTCTCGACGTGGTGCTCTATGCTGGGGATGTTGAGATCCTGTGACAGCGACGAGAGCTTGTGCTGCGACTTTGACTCGTTGAGTTCAAACAGATCGACGAGCGACTTGAAGCCGATTCTGTTAGTGTTGCCTCTGCTGATGCCGACTGCGCGGTTCATCTCCTTCAACTGCTCGCCGTACACATCGACATCTTCATCGTCGACTCCGACTAGAAAGGGATGTCAGTTCTGTAAACCATGAAAATTGCTTTGCCATCCCCTCCCTTTTCTTTGTTGGACTTACTGCAATCGCTAAAGACGTGACCGTCACTGATAATCCACATCTTGGCACCGGGCTCATACACCCTTTCAATAGCCTCTACAAACTCGTGAAGCCGCTCCAGAGCGAGCTGTTCCCCGCGGTCAGGGGCTTTCCCGAGGACCTTGTTGGTATTTGACGATTTGCACGGGAACGCAGGAAGACAGAGTTCGATTGTTGCCTGCTGCGAGGTAAAGTGTCGAACACGCTCTGTGAAATACGCTTTGCCGCTCGCTTCCCACTGGTCGTCCTTGCCCTGATATCTTAGAAAGCTATCAAACAGGCTGACGATCTCGGATGTAGCGTCCATTGGAGAGGCCGTAGAAGGGCCACAACTTAGATGCTCATGGTCGCGGATGGCAAAGTCGGCTTGGTCTAAGAGCAGTTGGACAAAAAAGTCATCAAACTGTGCGCTGGCTGCGTTTTGTTGAGACGTAGCGGCGGCGTCGATGATGAAGCCCGCCGTCGTGTGTGAATCGCTCCGTCGCATCTCATAGAGTTTCGAGCCTTGAAACGGCCCGTCGAGATTTGTGGACACGCCTTCGCTTGGTGCCGTTGTCGTTTCTCTTGCCGTCTGAAACTTCTGGCTAGGGAGGTTGTGGCTGATGAACGAGGTCCAGTGCTGCTGTACGCAGGCTTTCTGCGGCCCGGTGCAGTACAGCAGCTGCCCCTGCCCGTCGTGGACGAAGGCGGCTTGGAACCGGTGAAAGATGGAGCTGCCGTCGTTGGAGAACTCCATTGTGAAAATAATAAAGAATTAAGAATATGAGTCGTTTGATGTTGGAATAGTGATTAGGGAATTATAGAGGGTCTTGGTGATGTCGTGGCTTGTTGATTAGGTAGGGGGGATCCAGTGGTTTCTCGGCGAGGGGGTTATTATAATATTAAACACAATAGTGTGATCGAGAGACTCTAGAAGCACCAATACTTCTAGAAGTCTTCCTTTGGGTGCCTGGTTAATCCGATTGGACGCTGCTTTGGGTTCATGTGGTACGATTATGTTCTGATAGGTATGTTGCGTGAGAAAGAAGTCCTCCTCCAACTCGAGGAATACCGAGGTGGGCTGTGAAATGTGTCCGCCGTACGACCAAGACAGACACAAGAGAAAAACGAGGCGTCGGTATGCGTTTGTGCCGCTTCAACGCAGGTGGGATTACTGTCAGCTCAACACAGGAAGGAACAAAAATAAGACAGATGTTGCTGGCTGTAGATACACTAGGAAGCCCCGATGGTTACCGAAGGAAGGAAGAGGGTTTAGCAAGAAGTTCTTCAGCCAAAGGAGGTGGCGGAACAGGGGATGATGCCTTCCTACTCTAATCCACAGGTAGGTTGCATATATGGGATCACCGAAGAATCCTGAATCGAGGCTTTGCCCAACTTGGGAGAAATGCGAGAGAAGAAGCTAAGATCGTTGTACATGTACAAAGTGCAGCAGCAGGGCTGGGGCCAATGCTTGGTAGGAGAGAAGGAGCTATCCGCAGTTTGGGTCTTGGGGGCATGAACAAGATGCCTGTAGCGGGCGGCAAGCGGATGAACCGAGGGAATGTAACTTTTCCCTTCGTTCCTCCTTTTTGGGGCCCTTGGTGCTATTTTTTCCTACTCGCATTCGTCCCTTTGCTGAGAAAGACCGAGTTCCTTAGGGTAACACAAGATATCCAGGTCTTGTGTCCCCACCGAGCTGTGACCAGGGGGTCGTTCAGGCACATTGTTTTGTGTACAGGTACGAATACGCTGCTTGGGGTGCATACTACTTACTTCGTACACAAGGAAGGCCGTCTGATGATGGGATTTCATGGTCAGCCCCTCGAGAAGCAAGCAAGGATTCAAGTGTCCATGGAAAGTGGGGGTACGACGGGGCGTTTGCCAGCATCGTTCAACGACAACGGTCGTTGGTCGAGAGTCGAGAGGGGAGGCCCAGTCTAGATGATGGAAAGGACATGTCTCCAAGAGCGAGACTGAACAAAAAACGTTGTTCGGCACAGACCAAGAATAAGTCAAGGCTTCTGATCCGAAGGAACGAACACGACTAATCAAATCCCATTAACATCACGCCATTAAGATCACCTTGGGGCGAAGGCAAAAAAAAACCAAGGACACTCCACTACCTTAAAGGACCAGCCGTGCGGAACCTGCGCGCTACTAAGCAGCAAACCTTACATCTCGGTCTTGGGTTGCCATATTTCTCTTAGCTCAAAAGCTGTCAGGCCTTGGCGTCGTCGTTGTTCATTTTCGAAGACTTCGGTAAACTTACAAAGGACATGCTGGCAGGGATTATGAAGGGAAGGGCAGGGCAAAGCCAAGGCACGAAAGTCCGATGGCCGCGCTTCCATGGGCCGCATGGCGGTCATTTCTTGCACAAAAAAAAAAAAAAAAAAAAAGGCAAACGGATGATTTTTCCACGAATTTACCGCCCCGGCCGGTCCCTCACGCGCGAAAAAGAGGTGGTTCCCACTCGAGTGCATATATCTATTTGTACTTTGCAGTTTGCATGTCCGCAGCACAGGCTGGCAGCTTGCTGAGATTCCGCAAGATACCGCAGCCAGCATTCGCAGTATGCACCGACTATGGCGCGGCTTTCTTGGCGTTGGAGTTGCATTCGGGTCGACGTGAGGTTCTTGGACATAGAGCAGCACAGGAGTTGCTTTCCATTGGGTGGATCGGCATGCTTTCGCTTCTGGCGCATTTGAACGAAGATCGAAGCGGCCTTCTCCAATCATGCTTGTCGATTAATTTAGAAGCGTAGCCCCTGGTTCTTAATTATGGAGAACCGAGAGTTCGGTCAGGGATGATGCGGGAAGTACCTGTTCATCGGAAAGTAGCGTCTTATTATCACTATGATTATCAAACTTTGTAACCCTATCTAAACCCCCAGAGAGCAAATCAAAACTCAATCTACCCAAAACCGCCCGAACCCGTACATCACCCAGGTCCGACTAATTCACGACTCTCTTTTCATCGTCAACCCTGTCTGTCAAAACCAGCCCCGACTAATTCACGACTCTCTTTTCATCGTCAACCCTGTCTGTCAAAACCAGCCGAAGTGCTCGAGGATAAAGGGGACCGGCCTGGAGAAAAAGCGAACAAGAAGCCTTTCGTCAGCGCCGAAATTCTGGAAAGAGTGGGGAGCTCGGTCCATCGCGGGGACATAGGCAGCGACAGGCTTAAACTTACCGGAGTCTTGCGGTCAACCCACATCGGGTCCAAAGTGAAGGAGAATTCGCGGACCAGCTGGATCAGGGTGGTCCTCATTTCCAACATTGCGAATTTCTCTCCGAGGCACGCGCGTTTGCCTGAGATAGAGTCAGCAGGTCCATCATGGTAGAATGATTCACCACTCTTCCTTTGGAGTCTGTCTTACCACCATGAAAGCTGATCCACTCCCCCCTTGCCCGACGGCGGCGGTAGTTTTGCTGAATGACTTCTGAGGATGATCCCCACCTGCAAATATGAGCTTCACGATATTCTACAGGATGTGCACTCGTGAGACGAACCGTCCGGGGTCAAACTTGTCTGCTGTGGGACCCCACGCAGTCGGGCATCGGTTTGTTGAGTAGCAGTGGTAGCCGACATATGTCCCTTTTGGAATTACGATGTCGCCGCCTAGCAGCGCCGTCTCCGCAGCCTTCCGGTTGATCAATTGGCCAATGGGAGGGAACAAGCGCAAGCACTCGTAGATGAGCGAGGTGAGATACGGCATGTCTTCTTTGGCCAGATCTGCTGAAGACTTGGCATCCTTGGAAAGGATTTCTTGGCGCAAAGCCTCTTGCGCCTCCTAACCCCCCACCACTCTTGTCAGCAACGAATGCACGCGTAAGACGGCACGGGCCTGGGCAGGTTTGCTGACTTACAGGATGTTTCGCCAAAAGATACAGGCTCGATATCATGAGCAGCTGTGGGTTCTCTTGACCGGCCACGAATGACACCGTGAGGTTGTCGAGGAGCTGCTTCTCATCCCACATGCCCGATGCTCTGGCGTCGAGCATGCGCTGGCCGAGTTTGTCGTCGGATTGGTCTGACAGGGATGATGTCTTCTCCACAGGCATGTGGTGGCTCGCCTGCAGCGCGCGTTTGAGCTCGTTCTTGAACAGGCCCACAGTGCGTCGGGCCGCCAAGCGAGACTTGAGCGGCAACCTGTCGAGGAATGGAAAGCTCATAAAGATGGGCTTGAAGATCTCCCTCTTGACCGCCGTCTGGAGGAGATTGATAGGAGCATCTGCCCTGTCGAGTGCCTACGACGGATCGGCTGCGGTCAGCACGCTGCAAAACACCCCTGCTGGATTCGGTCTTGTCGTGGGGGCCAGGGCGACTTACATGCAACTTGGTACCCAAGACGGCTTCGGTGAAGTTGGAGACGGAATACCGCTGTAACAGGTCCTGCACAGCAACGCCGCCGCCTCCGCTGCCGACCCGCTTTTGGGATTCACGAAGGAGACGGCACAGGCTGACTGCGTTGCTTTCGATGATTTCGCCATCGAAATTTCTCTGGAGGCCTGGCTTGATGACCGACCGATAGTTCTTCCAGACGTCGCCTCTCGCCGAGATAACATTGTCGCCTGCTTCCGAGTTAGAATTTTTCGAAGCACCAAGGGTAGCAAAGAACACTTACCAAGGAACTCTGCCAGGACGCTGTGAGGAATCTTTTTCTGGTTGCCGCTCTTCTCGTACAAATCTTCATCTTTGAATATCTCAACCAGATATGAGGGTCGGTGTACCAAGATGTTCCACTGCGCACCGAAGAAAATCTTGACTGCTCCATGAGTACGCAGCGGCTTGTCGATGTACTGCCGGAAAATGTCTGACTGGTCAACGTCCTTGAAGAAGGGAATGAGGGCTACCCAGAACGGTATCGCCGGGATGTTTTGCGGGTATCTAGGAGGCAAGAGAAGAAAGTAGTAAACAAGTCCAAGGAGCAGCGCTCCAAGGAGTAAAACTTCTAGCAAAAATAGTAGCATCTCGTCGTGAATGGCGTCTGCAGTTACGGTGTAAGTCAATGCTGTGACAAAGAAACAACAAGCTTATATGTTCAAGGGCTGATGTTCCGAGAAAGCGAGACAGAACAAAAAGCAATGGTAGCACTTACAAGGATCGAGAGTATACCGTCAACAAGATGGAAGCAGCCTTCCTTCCTTCTCCTCAGCCCTACCCAAAGTAAGGTAGCAGAAACTCTAGCTGCCTAGAGATGACATGCAGGAAAAGGCCACAAGACAGGATTAGGAATCACGGTCAGGTAGGCATGAATAGAGGTTTCGTCGTCTTCTCGAAATAGACCGCATATGCGTGTTGGTGGTGGAACATGGAACATTGCATTTGTGCCTCTGAGATATCAGACGTTCGTCGTACAAATTTGTCTCCAGACCTAGACCACAGTCAGCGGCACACCGGGCTGTGCGATGCCCGGCGCATCGGTCAGTCGCACCAGACAAAGTCAAAGACAAAAGGCCACATCCTTGGGAAGGTTCATTGGCTGCCAAGCGGGCCTGATGCGAGTTGTGATGCCAAGAAGGACCAGACAAGGAATGGAGGAAGCAGAAGATGCAGCGAGAGAAAGAGAGTTTGATGAGGTTCTCTGGACTTTCCCAAGGCGGGTTGGCGTAAAGTGGACCGGGGACGTGCCTCCAGGTACGTATTGCAACCGTAGAGGTACCGGTACTTTGGGCGGAGCCTCCCCGCATACGCCCGCCAGGGAACTGCGGCAGTGCCCCGATGAGGATCCAGCAAGAGCTGACCGAGTGGGCCGGCGTTGGACGGATCCTTTCTGATTACTGCCTTTGACCTGGACGGAGTACGTTACTCCCTTGCGTGTAAGACTGAGAAGGGCTCGCCCAAGAAGCCAGGGGTTTATTAAATGGACACTGAATCGTCCATACTACGTACATACCTTGCCTTTTCTAGTGCCCTTACACATGATCAGAAACAACGGTAATCACCGAAGCAGTGCTGCTTCATTTTACCGCTTCCTGACTTTTGACCGCCGAGTTTCTCTATCTTACTCCTTCGTGCTCGTGGGCTTGCTTCCGAGTCTCTAGTTTTGAGTATCATTTCTGCATCGCTTTGTTCAAAATTATTTGTCAAAGATGGCTGACTCCAGTCCATCGACTTCGGGCACGACGACGCCCACCAAAGATCACATAATGTCTTCACAGGAGGTGCCGGCCCCGACTAACACCAGCACTACCACCACCAGCCAGCCGCCGCCATCGCCGTCGCCTCCAGCACAGTCCGCTGGGGATCCAGAGAAGAAAGCCGGTGCACCGCCGGCTTACTCGGCCTTCTCGCCATGGCGAAAGCGCTTCATTCTCAGCGTTGTCACCGTGGCCGGTTGTTTTGGACCTCTGGCCGGTAACATCTACCTCCCTGCTCTGCCTGTCTTAGAGAATGAATTCCACGCGAGCGCAACGGCTATCAACGTTACCGTATCTGTTTTCATGCTTACCTTCGCCTTCGGTGTATGTTCCCCAGCCTTTCGAACCCCACACTCAAGATAGCACATGACGCTTACACTTCACCAGCCTCTCTTCTGGGCCAGTTTCGCCGATTGGAAGGGCAGAAGACCACTGTACATCATCTCTCTCTCCATCTATATTGTTGCCAATATTCTTCTGGCTGCGGTACCGGCCAACTATGGCGCTCTTGTATTTCTTCGTATCGTCCAGGCCTTTGGGTCTGCGGCTGTCGTGTCGATGGGCGCAGGCACTGTCGCCGATGTAAGTGGCTCAAGAGAGTGTACCACACACCCATAGCTCACATAATTGACCCGATTCTCAGGTCACTCCACCCAAAGAGAGAGCCTTCGCAATGAGCATCTTCCTCTTAGGTCCCCAGCTCGGTCCGGTCCTCGGCCCAGTGATAGGAGGCGCGTTGACGGTGGCATCATGGCGCTGGATCTTTGGCTTCCTTGGTGAGCCTTTCCATCCTCCCAGCCCGTGCCAAACTGAACCATACTAATTGTACTCTCACAGCTATTGCCGGCTTCGTGCTCTGGATCATCATCATTCTCATGCTTCCAGAGACGCTGCGCGCCAGGGTAGGCAGCGGCAAGCTCTACTCACAGTCTAGCTTCATCCTCCTCCCTCCAAAGCTGTCTTCGCCCCTGGCACCAGAATCGGAGAGAGGTCCCCCGCCTCCCAAGCCAACCCTGCTCATGTACTGGCGTCTCTTCAGCTACCCACCCATCGGCATCGTGTCCTTCAACACCGCCATGCTCTACTCGACCTACTTTGCTATCGCAGTGCAGCTGCCCACTGAGCTCGCCGACCGCTATAACTGGTCCAGCGCAGGCGTCGGCGCCGGTTTCATCGCCGTCGGCGTCGCTATGATTGCGGGTTCCTTGGTCGGCGGACGCTTCTCGGACTGGCGGAGAGCGCGCGCAGTCAAGGCGTCTCCTGACAACACCGTCGATCCCGAAAATAGACTTGCAGACCAGATTTGGGGTGTCATTGTTTGCGCCGGTGGATGTGCCATGTACGGGTGGTTCGTCGACATCTCACTCCACCCCGCCGCCGTTCTAGTTGCCACCTTTTTGAGTAAGTTCTTGTACAACATTAGGAAGGATGGTTTTGGTTTTGCTTTCCATCTCACGTGAACTCGAGACTGACGTGTGTGACTCTTGTACAGCCGGCTTCGGGATGAATTGGGTATTTGTAGCCACGACGGCCTTTTTGACCGAGTGCGTGGCCCAGCAGGCTGCAGGTGCCTTTGCGCTCGGGAACATGCTACGGAATCCTGGTGCTGCCATCGCCGCTCTCGTGATCCCTTCTCTCGTCTCCAAGATGGGAAGTGGATGGTGTTTCACAGGACTCGCGTTGTTGGACTTGGTCCTTGTCGGGTCTGCTGTAATAGGTTAGCCCACCCTTAGTCGCGTCTTGGAAAGCTTGTATGCTAACGGTGTGTCTCACAGTACTACGAATCAAATCTCCGGGATGGAGGGCAGCCCGCAAAGCCAAGATGGCGGCGATGGCGGCAGCCAAGCAAGGTGGACCGAAATGAGTTTAACGAATAATGACGAGCGTCAACGGGACTAGAGCGCAGACGCTCATGAAGGAGAGTCTAACACAATTACTGTCTAATGTTTATACAAAATTGATAATGTTCAACTTAATGATCAACGCAAGTGTGACTTAACGAGTTTTTATATTATGCAAGATGATAGGTGGTCTACTTCTCATACGTAGCAATAATTCTGTCCGCCATTGCCGGCAGCGTCTCTGCCACAACATCCATCTCACCGAAAATCTCTGGCAATGCCTCTCCCTCCAGAGCAGTGCAGTATGCCGCCTTGAATCTGCGAGATGTTAGTGAGTCTAATACAACACAAAGATTGGCGAACCAAAAGTTTGACTTACCCCACAGTCTTCGCCGTCGATGCATCCCACAAATGCGCCGCCGCAAACCAAGGCTCGCACCCATCAGCAGACAACTTCGTCAAAATAGGAGTATACGCCTCGGGCGTCGGCTTCGCCAAGCCAGACGAATCGCACGAGAGCAAGTTCTCAACAGGCATCTCGACCCCGCCCCTCGAGAAGTAGCCTCCGACGCGAGCGATATCGCCCGCCGTGAAGCACCACACCGTAAACCCGGCGGCGCGGAGCTTGGCCACGCACTCGGCGGCGCCCTCGCGCAGCCGCAGGCTCTTCCACTCGCCAATGAGGTAGTCGACGTCCTCGTCGCTCGCGAAGGCGCGCGGGTCCTCGATGCCGGCGTAGTGCAGGCAGCGGTAGAAAAGGGCGGTGAAGACCTTGTAGAAGACGACGTAGCGGCCCGACATGGAGAGGTAGGTGTACTCGCGCTCGGCGACCTCGAGCCAGCAGCAGCCGAGGAGTTTTGGCTGGATGCCGCGGGCGCGGAGGCGTTCGCCTAGGCGCTCGTCGATGGCTTCGAAGAGGTGCTCGTATGTGACGAGGGTGCCGACTACGTCGAAGACGACGTTCTTTGGTGGTGTCATTGTGGGGGTTGGCTGATGTGTGTTGCGTCTGTGTGTGTATGTGTGTGAGAGAGTGCTGTTCCAAGGATGCCCGAAAGAGGTAGGTTCGGGGATGATTATTGGATGGTTGCACGATGCAAGGGGTTGATTCAGGGTGTGTCTGTTGGTCCGAGAGGGCTATACCAACACGATGATGTAGATTAAATATGAGGCTTATCACGAGGCGTTGCATGGGTCGCGCCTTTATGGAAGGCTGGACTTCATCTTGGAGAATTGATGTTGTCTCCCCGCACGTGTAACGAAGTGCGGGGAGTTCAGAACAGGCATCACGCAGGTAGAGTTTCCGGCGCCGTTTCCCGGTTCCCTATCGACTCTTTTGATATTCAAGTGGGCCTCTTTGCCGGAAAGGATACACGAGTTAGTATTCGGGGGAGGAAAACGTTATCAGGCTTGTTGTATCTACTGGGATACAGCGGATGCTGGGATGCGACTGTGAACGTTGCAAGGGGGACTGGAGGAAGAAGCGCCGGCCCGGTGCACTCCCACGTGTGCTGATGCTTTGCTGGCCGAAAGCCCATGGCTGTAGGGAATGCAAAGGACCAGCCATGAGTGGTATTCACACCGACGATGTGGAACAATGCGGCGGACGAATCCGACGCTAGACCGGTCAACAATCTGGGGAAGTTGAGCTTGGCGATAGGAGGAAGTCAAGTGGACGTAAAGTGGAGACAAACCGCTCAGTCTGTTTCGTATCTGGACAGCTCATCGCCCAGGGAATTTTAGTAATGAATAAATCTCACAGGAGATCCAGCATTACGTTTGCCAGATGGTTATCTGGCACGCCGGAGCCGGCCTCATATACATACTGTTTTCCGGTAGCCAGTTTTGTCGCCGGTGTTGGTTTGCTTTACCCGGCTTCTTATCGAGTCAACTGATATGCGGTTAAAGACAACAGAGGGGGGCTGTGGGGGTGGAGACTGGGGACCTTTGTTGGATGCAACGTCAAAACGGAAAGATAAGGACGGACAATGAATGTCCAAAGTGACGGATTAAGCCGCTATCGGGATGGTTCGGCCGGAGAAGTGATTGACAATTTACAAAACGCTCAACCTATCGAGAGAAAGACTTACCGAGAATGATTTTTGATGGAGCATCGATATGATAAAGTGAATTCATTGCTGAGGTAGTCAGCTGCCGTGAAGAACTTCGACAGAATATTTCGGAAATTTTGTTTCAAAATACAGAGTAACAACGGTACATGTCTATCAGATTGCTCAGTCGTTCATTGTGCTTCAAAATGAAACTAAATAGTATATGGATTATCAAGTCACCTCATTTTGTTTTAATTTATTCTCATTTCATAAAGTTGACAACTGTCTGGTTGCAGAGCGCCCTTGCATAGAGCGCCAGATCGATTCGAGTTCTCAAATAAAGCATACCATGTACAAGATAGGTAATCAGAAAAGATGGACATTGAGTTGGTGTCTGGTGAGGAGATTGTTGGAATACATTATTATGATAAAGACTCGCTAAATCATATGAGACATCTAAAAACTAAGCTGATTCGTCTTGGTATCTACTAAGACCTACGCAAATGACGGTGCTTAATATGCTCGAGGCTCTTTCCGGAAAGTGTCTAAGCTACAACGGCTGTGCGAACCAATGACTACAAATTTTACACCAAGGTCAACTCTAGTGGGCATGCTCCCTGCAACGCGCGTCTAATACGACACTTTACATGAAATTAACCAACTCTACAGTTTTGCCGGCGGCTGATTGACCGACTTCCAGCTCTCAAGAATGGAATTCCTGGAACTGTCCAATCTCGCTTGAGAAGCCTGGTAGACTTTGGGGATACCCGTAGTCTTGAACTCAGACTGTTCCATAATCATCGATGCTACTCCCTTAGCCGAGAGGAAGATCTGCGGCATACCGTGGCCGTTGAACCCGGCAATGATGAATTGTTTCTGTTTTCCGGGGACGACGCCGACGTGTGGCAATCCGTCTGATGAGTAGCCCATGACTGTATTATTGTTACTCACCGATTCCATATGTCGAGTGTTACTAAATAGGGGGCAATTGACTTACTTCCAGTCCACACCTTCGACGTAGTTGCACCGCTGTCTTCCCATCCGCGGAACACACGCTGCATATACCCATCAAAATGTGTTTTCGCCGCCTCAATCAACTCGTCATCGTTGACCTTGTTATACCACGCCGATAAATCATGATAATACGAGGACCGCGCACCGCCGACGACGATGCTTCCGTCGAGTCGGGGAATCAGATACTCGTACTCCGTGTCGGACCACCGGATGATGACCGAGTGAGGCAGCAATGGCGCAGGCGTCTTGCCGGGCGTGATGTGGCTGCAGATGCCGCGCACGGGGACAATCTTGTCGGCGAACTCGGGCAGAATGGACGACGTGTAGCCGTTTGTCGCGTACACGATCTTTGCGGCACGGACGGCGCCCCGCCCCGTAGTCAGCGTCAGGTAGCCGTCCGCGTCGGGGGTGCTGGTCACCGCCTCGACGGGCGTGTGGGTCTGCAGGTTGACGCCGGCGTCGAGGGCCTTTGAGAGGAGGGCTAGGATTAGTTTGTATGGCCAGACGGTGCCGGCGGTATATGATAGGCATCCCTTTACTCCCTTAACACCTGATAGCTGGGAGTAAACAGTTAGTCACAGAGTCTAAAGTGCAGGCCGTAGCTCGACTTACTTGCTCCGCTTCGGCGCCGTCGGCGTAGTACACGTCCTTCATTACGGAAACGCCAGCTTTCCTGAGCAACTCAACGTTTGCCTTCATCTTATCACGGATACTCTCTGACATCAAGGCATCGACTGCCCTAGTCAATACGAAGTCACAGTCAATGCCTTCGGCTTCAATGGTCTTCTTCACTTCCATGAGGTTCTTGGCCTCAAATTCCGCACATTCCTTCGCAGTCTCGATGCCATGTGTGGAAACGAAACTTGCGGGACGATTGTACGGGTCCGGCTTCAAATGGCCGCCTATACCATATCTCAAGTCAATAAGGAAGCTCGAATGAGAAGAAAGCTCGAATGAGAAGACAGGACAATGAGAAGACAGGACAATGAGAAGACAGGACAATGATGGGGTTGTCAGACATACCATTGCGTCCAGTTGCCCCGGAACATGCCTGTCGGGCCTCGAGGATCAAGACCTTTGGCGGCGCAACACCACGCGCCTTGCACTGGTCGAGGATGTGGTATACCGTAGCAACACCTGCATAGCCTGCACCAATGACTGCGATGTCAACTTCGGCTGGCAGCTCCGGGGTAGACCGGTGATCGTCTAGAGGGTGCGGGGATGACCTCCAGAAGGAGGTCGTGGAGTTGGGGACGGGGAGCGGGGAAACGGGCATGGTTGTGTGACAGGGTGTGTGTTTGTCTTTCTTGGGGGAGAATCAGACACGAGATGTTGTGAGTGACTGTATTCAGCTGCACGAGATAGAAGTGGTAGACCAAGCCGCCGCGTCCGCCGTTATAATTAAAGGCTCAAAAGCCTCGAGCGCGGGTGTTCCATCACGGTCCGCACCAAGTAGGCGAGCGCCGGGGTGGGGCGGGGCCGGGACGGGAAACCTGTCGGGAAAGCTGTTCCGTTCGGTGAGCGGACTCAATTGTGCCTCCTTACTACCTTACTCGTAAAGTCAAGGAGGGCCAGGGAGGGGACCGAAATGTTGAAAGGGTAAATCAACTGACCGGCCCGGTCGTTTGCGGGGAACCCCCGTTTGGGTATACGTTTCCGTAAAGTTTATCAGCAGCGATCCTTCAATTCTCGGCCTCTTAAAAGCCCCTTCAGATAATCCTCAACCACCTAACCCAGGACAGCGGTTGCAGCACAACCCTTTAGAGTTAGCGACCGGCCCGGTCAGGACATTGGGATTAGAACTCAGGCGCAAGAAAAGAGGCCCGCTCTTCCCATTTGTGTCCCAAACATGTCCCAATCCCTTGCGGACTTGTTGCTGCTTATCTGCGTATCTCCATGTTGGGGTGGCTGACAGATAAACCGGGGAAGCACCAACTACCGATAACCGTGATAAGCCTCTACTGGCTCGGTGAAACTGGGCAGGCCCCGGAAGATAGGTAGACAAACTGACACAGTAATCAAGCAGTAGGTCTACGAATCGAATTGTCCAACATGGCCGTACCCAGTGATCCTTACCCAGCCCCAGAATGGAAACCATCATCCGCACTGACTAGTTGAATGGTTCTTTGGCAAACTACAGCCATCCTGGAATGAACCAATGAAAGCTTCTCTAATGACATGACAACACCACTATATACAGGCCAATGCCAGGCCCATCGACTCATCCCCAGACTCGACACCCGCGGTCTCTAGCACGTCTCCAGTGCTCTCTTCAAACACCATGGCAACTCCACAGACAAAGGACGACACCAAGATCCCCGAGACGACTAGCTATCCCGAAGCGACTGACCATGCCGCCGGCACCAGCTACGTGTACGATGAGGGCGCTGTCGAGAACGTCGACGAGGCCTACCTCCGGGCCTCCAAGTCGACGAGGTTCTACAGAGGCGTATTGTTCCAGATGATCCTTTTTGGAGCGTAAGTTAAACTTGTCTCGGGATAAAGTCCCGAGATCACGAATTCGAATTTAACTTCTCCACGTAGGCTGTCCTTCGTCGGTCCTGCCATGTCGGACGCCATCTCCAACCTCGGGGGTGGTGGCCTCTCGACACCATACTTGGCCAATTTGGCGACTGCCCTCAGCTACATGGCCGGCTGTCTGATCACCGTATTTGGTGGACCTCTGATCAACAAGATCGGAATCAAGTGGTCTTGTATGATCGCTGCCGTCACCATGCCTCTTGCTGGTTCGGCCTACTATGTGAGCGCAAAATACTCGATAGACTGGTATCTTCTCTTTGCAAGAGTACGTCATGCCTCTTTCCTGCACTTTGGATATATCGCTCTGGAGCTGACTTGATACGCAGCTTCTTGGGGGTTTCACATCTGGTTTCCTCTACGTCGCCGAGACGGCCGCCATGCTGTCGTATCCGGAAGCAAACGACAGAGGTTTCTACCTGGGTGAGAAGACTTCTGGGAGCTCCCTGAGTGTGCTTGTGTTAACAAAGTTGTACAGGTATCTGGTCTGCCATGAGAAACTCTGGTAGTGTCATGGGAGGCGCCATCAACTTTTCGACCAACTACTCCAAGGCCAACGCTGGTGGTATCGCGTGGTCCACCTACTTGATCTTCGTCGGCTTCGGTAAGCAGTGCACCCTTCACCTCATATCCAAATCCGACTTGGCACATGTTCTAACATGAACCCCTAACAGAATGCACTGGAACGATCTGGGCTCTCCTCCTATCCCCCACCAGACGCGTACGACGCCGTAACGGCGCAAAGATCCCCATGGCCAGCAGCATCAGCTGGAAGAGAGAACTCATTGCGCTGTGGAGACACTTGCAGCGCCCAAAGGTGAGCACAGCCAGTCACCCGCTGATGACTTTGACGAAGTACTGACGGCCTAATCCCTTAGACATGGCTCATGTCCATCCCGGCCTTCTACTCCTTCTTCTTTGGCGGAACCATGGGCACCTATCTCTCCCTGCACTTCTCCGTCCGGGCCCGCGCCCTATCGTCGCTGATCACTCGTGAGCAACTCTCCTCCGTCTTCTAATCACTGTCGTTTCCTGACTCAAGCTGACAATTACATCTAATAGCGGCAATCACCATTGTCATGGTCCTCGGCTACGGAAAACTCTTGGACACGTCTCGCTGGTCACAAGCCCGGCGAGCGTGGATATCTTTTTTCTTCTGGGTCATCCCCCAGGCCATGTGCTTCATCTGGATCGGCATCGAGTACAGCAAGTTCGGCGGAGGCAAAATCGACGAGGCCCTCGACTACGAGTTGTATGTCATCCACCATCCATGTGCCCCTTCTCTGATTTAGAGCACCGCTAACAGTATCGCTTCCCAACAGGCACACCAGAAGATGGGCCGAGGCCTACCTTCCCTATCTGATCATGTTTTCAACCGGTTACTGGACCCAGTTGTCCCTCTACTGGATTCTCGGCACCTTCTCCACGGACGTCGGATCTTCCTCCCGCTCGGGTGGTCTGTTCCGCGCTTTTGAGACGGCCGGCCAGGCCGTCTCGTATGCTCTCAACTCCAAGACCAGCGCCGACCCTAGAATTCCTTTCTATGTTAATGCTGCACTGATGGCTATTACTATTCCTTGCATGGTGTTCCTCATCAGGCTGGTTCCGGATGCGCCTGCTTCAACGGACATAGATGCGGGAGATGTTGTTGAAGATCAGGCAGAACGGGATCCTGATAACAAATAGAACACGTCTGCTTTCTAACTTTGCTGGATTAAGAGCGTGGGATTGGCTGTTTTTATATAACGTTGAGGTACCATAGGAATGATGAAATGAAGCATGACTGCTTGAAGCCTTTGATACGCATCAATGTCCCAGTGATTGATTGTACAACGCTTCTTGTCCTTGCAACAGATTTTAATGGAACACACTTAAACACTTGATTCGTCATTTGTGATAGAATAAGGGGCTCTTAAGATATCCCGCAACACGTAGGTTCTCTTTTGCGACACCCCACCCTTACAACTATTACTTTATCAATCGACCTTGGCCGCACTTGGAGAATTTCAAAGTCAAGGTTCATAGTCAGCGCATCCAGCTTATTGTCTCATTTTCGAGTACACTTTTCTGACTAAGATCTTGACCCGTACTGCTTGTCAGATCGACTAAGTCTTACTAACCTACATGAAAGCTACAGGAGGGTTTTGTTTTTTGAGATAAAGTGAACGTCTGCGCCTCCGCCCCTTTAAATCAATGGGCTAAAAAAAAAAAAAAAATCCACACAATTACATATCGAATAGTCACACTATTGCAGCGTCTACTCAACGCTGTGAACACTGTTGTTTTGAGTTAAACCTCGAGATCTCAGGGTTGTTGAATTGAGATAAAGTGAACATGAGGTAAAAGGGTAACAATGACACACTGTCATAATCAGCCGCGTCAGAGTTTGTATGCTAGCTAAAACTTTCAAAATCAAATTTACATAAGCTGATCATGCAAGTTTTGTTTTTGAACGCAAGTCTAGCCATAGACGTCAATCTGATTTCAGTTCTCAATCGGAACTATGTTCCTCTCACTAGCAACTCTGGACGGAACATGCTCTGCAAAAAGATGGCAGAAAAATTGAGAAACGTGAAAACAAAAGGAGCACCAGCATTACATGTAACCTCAACTACATCCAATTTGCCCCTAGTACATGTTTGATATCTGACCAGGACTGTCTCCCCAATCTCAGCCAAGAGCAACCTGAACTTCCAATTTTTTCAAATTCGACTAACCTTGTGTAAGTATTGACCTCAAATTGCACCAGGATATTCAAGCAAGGATTCAAATCACAGCTGAGAAATAGTTGTTGATAGTTCATTGAAGCCACCATCAATTTTTCTGACAATGGGATCCGAATTTCTCTGAAAACGGCATGGATCCCCTTGAACCATTGAACGTTGACAGGGTTGTCATCTCTTAGCTCCAAACTCAAACTCAAAATCGTCTGAACAGTGGGAGAAAAAAAACCCCCCCAAGTCTGACCCCACCAAAAACATCTCAAGATAGTTTGGCCTGGAGCGGGTAAAACGGGTGCTCCCGCTTGTAACGGTGACGTTTAGGACGGAGATGGAAAAGGCTCAGAGAAACATCCTTTTTGGCAAAAGCGTGTTATTCCCCCCCCCCCCCCCCCCCCTTCGTCCCTTGTCTGCTTATTCTTGCATTATTCAGCATTGGGCTCCGGACGAACTCAGCCCGACGACATGTCAAAAGAGACGGACGTTCCTTTTTTCTCTCTATAGGTAGTTTCTCAGTGACATTCTGAGACCCGCCTCGTCGCTGGTTAGGTTTATGACTAACGTTACGGGAGTAAGAGTGCATCATGGATTTCTTGCCCACCGGTTCGACTTGCCCTGCATCGTCAACTCTGAGAATAACAGCGCCCCTGATAGACGGTTACACAGATCATCAAAAAAAAAAAAAAAAAAAAAAAAAGTTGACAAATCCCATGATCGCCTCCCACTCTTTTCTTATCCAGCCTCTCAGCTATTTCCCCCCAAGTCTCATGGCAATGCGATGGGAATGAAGGATAGCAGGTACGCGCAATGCCAGAACCGAAAATCGCAACACTTTTGCTGTCACACACATGCAAACAAGAGAGACATTGCCTGGGCTCTCGTGAACAAAAGTGCATCAATACACTTGAGCGACCGTCACCGAAAGGTTCACCATGCCCTTCAGGTAAAAGTTGGCACGTGGGTTGGTCAGGTGTGCCTTGGCATGTTGAGCATAAAGGTTGAAATCAATCCCCCAATCCTCCCCCATTCCCTGCAACGAATCCTACCCCACCCTCAGGTTTTCCCTCCTTCACCGAGACCGCGGCCAATAGGGACGGCCCGGTCGCATCACCACCACACATCCATCCATCCTTTCGTCGTATCCGCCAGAAATCTCCCTCACTCTTGTTGAGCTCTTCCAACCTAATGCCTACCCGCATACACGCGATTCAGAATCCTACCATCGGGCCATCTCCCCCAAGCCTCAGGGACGAGAGACATTGCGGCAACTTCGTTCCATCTGGGGGAAGGGAAGTCTAATTTAGATTCACGTCAAATATTGGAATCAAACCAACACTTGCTTTCGGTGAAACACCTGTGATATTGGGGGTTCCGCCAAGGTCAAGTGAGTGGGGATTTCGGAGAAAGATTCTAGAGCACACCACGTGAACATGTTGCCCACCGGGAGAACATGGATGTTGGGGGAACTCGGGAGGTCGCATTCTTTTTTTCCCCCCCAGGCATCTGTCCTCGTTTGATTCTCCTTCTTCCCACCCCCTTGTATTCCGTATGGTTCAGTTGCATTCGCCCACCCGTGTCCCAAAGTGCGAGGCGCCCGCGGCAGTTGGATAGTTACGTTCCGTTCCGTGCGTTGGGAAGGCTACCTTACCGTAAGGAACGGGGGGGGCGAGCGGGCGGGACGGGAATCTGGAACTTAAACTGGTGCCTGTTTTAATTTCCTGACGGATACCTTACAATGCAACGCTTTTCATTTTTTCTTTCAACCGCTACTGTCCAGAGCCCAGACAAGCAAGACCGGCATGGCAGATATTTCCGCGATGATCACACATGGGAAATTGATCGTTAGACCTGGCCCCAAATTCCCCGAATCGAGCAGCTCTTCCCAAATAGTAAAAGTACCATGTATGTGGGGGGGGGGGGTTTCTCTCATTCTCACACGCATACACACACACACACCTGCACTTGCTCACCAAATCTCTCTCTCTTCAGTCCCCTTGCCTTTCCATCTTCCGTGCTTCCTCAATATACCTTGCCTCGTTCTTACGTACATTACAGGTCGGGCCAAGCGTTCCATTGCATATAGGCACAGAATCAACAACTCGTTCCGCCACTCCCCCCTTCCACCTCACGCCCACCTACTCACCCAACAGCCGCATGCACACACATACACGCCCATCCTTCGCTCCCCCACTCCCCATTTCCTTTCTGGATTCCCTCCACACACCTACCATTGACGAAAGGTGGAAAAAATTGAGATGGATGGCATAGTGCATCAGGGGAACCAGCAGCCGCGCTCCGGCCGACACCCAAACCCGGGTGCCAGAACCAACCCCAGTGACAAGGGGTCCTTTTTCTTGCCTTTCTGCTTCAGCCACGCGGACAGCCAGCCCACCGTCCACGCTGGGAGCTTTCCTTGGTATTCCATCATAGGTACGGAGTACATGCAGCTACCAACCCGGCTGTGTGTCCCGGCGTCTGTATGCGTGTGTGGGTGTGTGTGTGTGTGCGTGAGAGCGCGTGTGTAACGTGTTGCAGACCGCCTTTTCGTTTACTGCCATCGGCAGTATCGATGCCCGTGTCCCGTCAGCTCTGCTCATTCGTCTGACGGGGGAGTCTGAGCCTCATCGGTACAGCTGAGGATGATCAACCATCAAAGACCTCAAGGTGGGTGAGGATACCTGCTGCAGGTTACTCACTCCGTAATCGTCAGTCGTCCCACTCAAGGCCCGGAGAGTTCACTCCCAGATTATTGAATCTCTACTCTTCTGTCCTGGCCCTGGCCCATGGAAAGCTTTTCAGCAGGACTCTCTCTCGCCTCCAGCTACCGGGCCAACATTGCTCTTGGGCGAGACACACATGCTGCACGCCTGCATGGAAGCCCAGCAGCTATTAGACGCAGCAATTACCACTAGACCGGATCCGTTCACTTTTTCGTTCACCGCGCCTGAAAGAGAGAGAAACAGGCAGTCATAGTTGGTAATTGGTAAATAAAAATTGGTATCAATAATCCTAACTTCTCATACGTGCGTTAAGGCATCCACCACAAGCAAGGGGTGCATGATACTCGGGATCCTTCCTATCGGGCCCAGGTCCAATGTCGACCCAAAAACAAAATAATCGAGAAAGATAACACGACACAAAAACGTTGTGTCTAACGCTTGTTCCCAACTCCATCGTGTTGTCACGCTTGTTTGCCCCATCATATTTCAATGCAAATCCCAGGGGTATCTGAAGAGTCTAGTAACTCTGATGGGAGGCCAAAGCTGTTTTCCTCTCTTTTTCCTTCCGCGCCCCGCTTTCATCCAGATGCACGCGCCCCAATCCCGTTGGGTGGTCTAAAAACTCCCATGATGCATCATCCAGCAGCCCACCCTTCCATGTGCCGTGAACCACCGCTCCCGCTGTCCTTGATGTATGTCCACTGACAGGCCAAAATGCCTGGCGAAAAGCCACCGCCAACGTGTAAACAAAATGTTGTTCACATCTTCAGGGTTTCCGGTCTGGAAATGGTTGAAAATGAAAAAGAAACCGCTCAACAGCTCAAGGACTCGAAACTTTCGTACACTCCCCGTCGTAAATAATGTAACCTTGACCGCAGTACAGATAACCCAAGGGAAGATATAAGCCAAGCAGTACCACCTTGCTGAAAGCAAGTGGACAATGACTTCAAGGAAATAACATGAAAGCAAGAAGATTGTTCAGACAGCCGCCTCGACCCAATAATTACCGCGAAAGAAATGACGCTGTGGTTCAATGTTCGGTTTTGTTTTCCAATGGACTGCCTCGTCTCAAGCCTTGTCGAGCACGTCCGAATGTTGCTTTTCTTTACTCCGTTCCGTTCTTGTGGTATGTACTCGATGTGATTCGCGGTCGTGTATTCGTGTGTGTAGGGGAAACGTTGACGTATGTGCGTGGGGACCGCTTGGTTGCGATGTGGCCCCTAGTAGATAGCATGGCTGGACTGGTGGTACATGCGGTCTCGGTAGGCAGGAGGAATGCCATCATATCTGGGGCTGCTTGCGCTCGAGGACTGATCCATGTCCGTGTCGTAAACCTCGTAGCCGTGCTGGTGATGTTGCATGTACTGTTCCGGGGGAGGCAATCTCTTCGAGCTGTATGCTGCGAGGCTCGCGGGGTTGGGCACGCGCTTGACTGGATAAGATGAGGGGGCAGTCCTGGACTTCGAGACACGGTTGCTGACCCTGCGGTCCTTGCCACGGCCCTTGATGCCCTTGTTGCTGTTCTTGTAGAGGTTGGCAAAGTACCAGTACATCTCTCGCTGGTCATCGGACAAGCCATCAATATCGGAAATAGAGACAATCCAGTCAGTCATTTCCATGAGGGTCTTCTCGTGATACTTGTTTTGATGGTTCTGATGCCAAGTTAGCTGGATTGCCGTGGGATATACCACCCCGACTCTACACACCTTGAGATTGCCTCTTTGGGTGAACATCTTGTTGCATTGATCGAGCTTGCAGACGAATGGCTTCGCATTGGTGTGTGTGGCCATGTGCGTCTGGAGGTTGCCACGCTGGGCAAACACTTTGCTGCATTGCTCGCAGCGGAAGGGCTTCTCGCCAGTGTGGCGGCGCATGTGTGTCTATTGGATGGTTAATGAGGCCATGCCATGTTTGCTCGAAATCGGATGAACCAACCTTGAGGTTACCGGGTTGCGAGAAGGTTCGTTCGCAGTTCGGCCAAGTGCATTTCTGCGAACTGTCAGCGTTATTCACATCACATTCGACTACCCATGTGTACTTACGTATGGCTTTTCACCGGTGTGGGCGCGTTTGTGAGTGTCCAAGTGGGTGCTTTGATAGAAGCTTTTGCCGCAACCATCAATATCACAGACATAACGCTTGGTCTTGGGAGCATCCAACGAGTCTGTCGTTGTCGAGGGTGTGGGGGCCGAAGCAGCCGGGGTCGGTTCGGGCTGGATCATGTCAGCCCAGTCACTCTAGCCAGCGGACGCAGAATCGGGTCTTACCTTGGGAGATCTAGGCTCCGGCTTGACAACCTGCTCGGTCTCTGGGACGCCCTTGACAATATCCTCAGTGTCGTGCCTCTTCTGGATCGCCTTCATGAGAGTGTCGATGGCAGTGGTGAAGTTCACTGGGTCCGCGCTTGTGGGCTTGTTGAACTTGATCTCCTTGGTGTTGAGGGGGTGGGGTGTCTTCGGGTTGCTCATCTTCGTCTCGCTGCGGGTGGATGGGCTGCGGTGTCGATCATTCTGTGCCGAAGGTGACTCCTGAGGATAAGAGCTGGCGCGCGGGACCTCATGCTCTGGAGCTACTACGGGCATGATCGATCGTTCTTGTTGAGCCGGCAGTCTGAAGGGCATGTTCATGTTGGCCGGAGGTGAATCGTACTGAGCATATGCGAAGTGGTTTTGGGTCGGGCAGTGGTGGCCCATTGCCGGCATGGATGCAACGCCGTAGTGAGAGCCAACCATGTAATGCGGAGAGATAACAGTGCCGTTCATGGGAGCAGAGGAAGCCCCTCTCGAGTCGTACTGCACGAAGGCTGTGTTATCCATCATCGCGTAGTCATGGCCGGCAGGCTGCTGCTGCCAGCGACCCCAAGCCTGGGGCGGGGCTGTCTGTTCCGTCAAGGCCATTTCTGCGAAGCCAAAATGAAGAAACGATAGGTTGGCAAGGTTAAGTGTGGTTGTTGGATAGAATCAGCAACAGGTATGGGTAAGTCAATGCCAGTGCTGACTGACTCCTGCCTTGTGTCTAGAGTATGTAGAGTACGATGAAAGAGATGGATCAGTGGTTGGTGTCAAAAAGAAATAGCAGAGGTGAAGCGTTGACTGCTTGGGGCGAAGTTGAATGTTTGTGATCTCTCGTGGCAAGAAGTCGAGAAAGAAAGGAGGATGGAGGCGGGTAGATGTAGTTTCGGGACAGAGTCGAGAATGGACTCGTGGTATAAAGCGCGGGAGGGGATAGCGGATGTGCGGCCGGGGTTGAATCCTGGAAGCCAATCGACTGGATTTGGTTCCCGAAGATCTCAGCACTAAATATACATGCATCCAAAGCGAAACCAGCAAGGACCCAGACAGTGGGTTGGTGAGAGGAAAAAAGAAGGGTTGAAGGCCAGGACCAGAACATGGAGAGTTTGTGGAAATCATGGACCCCCACCACGACGAGCAAGACGGAGGACTTCCATAAAAGCCGGGGTAGCGACTAGGCGGGTCACGACCCGGTCGACGCGGACGAAGACGAGACCTTGCTCTTGCTGTACAGGGTGGCCAAGTAGTGTACAGGAGGGGAGGGGGAGGGGCGCCTGGGAAGTCGACCTCGGAGGGGTGTGGAAATGGGAATGGGAAGAGGCGTCATACCCATACCCTGCAACTGACTGAGCTCAGAGGTCGGTATAGGTTGCATTCGTGTCTCTCTCTCTCTCGGGGTCTAGGTACTAGTCTCCCCTCATAGACGAGGTAGAGCGCCTGCGATGAGCAGCGTTGAAGTTCTCTTAGAGGCGAAAATTGGACCAACAGCTGGCCGATCGAGCATCAGAATGAACCTCGGAATAGACTAGACAAGGAGAAGGCATACCTATCTAGATGGAGGCGCTGCGTAGAAATCGAAAGGAGGAGCCTCGGCTACTCGAATAGACAGAAATAAGACATTCTGGTAAAGACGAGTTCTTCATAAGGGGCAACTCACAGGTCGTCAGTTGGAATAGTTCGCAGGAGAGCTCATCTCATCACTGTCTGCGGTTAAGGATAGGCAGGCGAATGGTGAGAGAGTGAAACAAGCATAATGTGGGAATCTCAAATAAAGACAGTCCCTTGTCCTCGGGCAGGTCGCTGTGGCCTCGATTCGTTATTGCTTATTCTTGAAGTGGACGTGCAGCATGGCGACATGCGGCTTGGGTGTAGGTCAGATCTGCCCAAATGGGCGCCATTCTTTCTTTTTTCATGAGAGGCTAGGATCGCCGGGAGGTCGATATTGCAGCCGGACGGCAAGGCGAAGCAGGGGATGATGGTGGAGGAACTTTTCGAAAAGCGTCGAGACAATGTGAGAAGAGACAGAGATATTGATGGATTCAGGTGTCCGTACGGACTACCTTAGCTACGGACCAGATCTCATGATAGCGATCACGATGGCGGAAAGATGGAGGTAGCCAACGTGGAACCTGGTCATCGGTACCATGCCAGGTACACTCTTCAAAGTTCAAGGAAGGCCAAGGGTTGATAGTTTGCAGAGTGAGGCGGGTGGAAGCTGTAGGTCTTCGTGCGTAAACAAGGTATCGTAATGGTAGGGTGATATCGAGCTGAGGTCGATCTTGAAGATAATGACGACGAGGGTCTTGCCAGTGAGGCTTTGCAAGAAGAGATTTCAGGCACAGCTACGAAGGTCAAGAACAAAGATTGAGCGTTGATAGTACCTTACCTTAAGCTACCGGGCCGGTTCGAACACATGGAGTTTGGGAAAGACACAGCAGACTGGTCAAGCTGAGATACGAATGCAGGAGCGAGGTGAGGGTGAGAAACGGAGACTTGCTTCCAATGCTTGGCAGCCATGAGAGAGAGATTCAAGACATTCAAGACCAAGTGAGACTCTCGAGTCTCGAGAAAGGGCCGGACTATGGGACAAGGATTCCCTAGCCACTGGATTCTTAATTTTTCGTGCAGGCGGGCGGGACTGACGGCAAGGGAGAAGGACGAGAACAGGGACGTGCCATTGGTATCCTACCATGGGATGGATGATGGAGTCCTCCGCAGGTATGGATGGTCTATGGACGGAAAGAGGGGGGCGTGAGATGAGTGCGCTGGTCCTCACACGGGGTGTTGAGTTGAAAATGAAGTGAACTTGTGAAGTTGGATACCACGCCCTGCCCTGCGGCCTGCGACATGCCCTGCACTTGAGTGCAGCTGTGGGAGTGGGGAATAGGAAGATTTTCGAGGGTACGTACTTCCCGAAGCCTTACCTAAGGCTTGGCAGGTACGTATCGCGAACTCTGTCCCCCATCTCTTGTTGGTATGGAAGGTACCTATCTTACCTAGGTACTCAAGTATCTTGGTGTAAGGTCAGGTACGGAGCACCGTCCGTCCTCCTCCACCTACCTTATGCTGGCTTGATGAGATCGAGGCAGGAATTGGTTACCTTACCTTATTCGCAGCTGCCTTACCTTCCAATGTCCATCACCTTACCTTAAGTCCATCATACCTTAGCTGAGGTACGTACAAAATACACTAGTGAGGTAGGTAGCTTACGCGCGTGCAAGTGCTGTGCGGGTACATTCGGGAATCTCACCCCCTCCTTGCCTTCCCACCCCCCCTTCAACGTCGAGCTGCTCTTGCGGCTTGCCCCAAGCTTCCCGTCAGGTCCCCCACCTCTGGTGCTTGGGCATATGGGATCACATCAACATCCTTCCTTGCCTCTTACCCTGTCAAGCCTGTCCTTACCTGAGGTATTCCGGAACCTCACCATGGGAAGTCATCGACGGCTTCTTCCATCACCTACGCAGTAGTCCCTCCCTCCCTCCCTCTCTATCCTCACGCCTAGCCAGTGGCATTTGTAGAAAGAGTGCGAGAGGCAGGCATAGAATCACACAGGGACGGGTCGTCTACAGTTCTCGCCTACCGCCTGAAGACTGCGACTCTGGCGTCGAAGCCACAGCCGAGCATCTGGGCATTCTGGACCACCAGTTTCTGCGCTGGACATGTCACCGTCGCTATGAACTTGAGCACACACACACACACACACACACACACACACACACACCGTCTCGACTTCGCGGATACCTACCTGATCCCTGGTCCGCTGTCCTCCGTTTGCTTGTCGGCCACGTTCAAAATCCTCCGTTCATGCACCAATCTGTCAGCACTTTTTTTTCTTCGTCCCCCCCTTCACGGCTTTCCTAAAGAAACCTCACCATCCATCCGAAGCTGCGTGTCTGAATCAGGCCAGGCACACACAGTACACACTCTCTACGTGCTGCGGTAGACGGCGCAAGCAAACATGGCACCCCTGTTCTGCCCAGCTCCGCCAAATGAGAATCGTTCGTTTTTCGGGGCCGTTGTTTGCCTGTCTGCTGTCATTGACAATGCCATTTAGAGGCACCGACTTGATCGTCGCCATGGGCTTCTTTGTTCGGCATTACCTCAGCCCTGTCATCTTGAGAACGAATGCTCCTCAATCCAATCCAAAGCCAACAGAACGACGCCAAAGAGCTATTTGCAGGGCTCAGAAGGCAAGCCACCTATTCGCACACATCAGGCTTCTGCGAACCACGGTATTCATCCATGTCGATGCCGATTCGGGCTACGGATACTATCGATCACGGCTGCTGAGGGCCTCGTATTGAGCCTCCCACCTCCCGCCTCATTTTAAATGTCCCATATGAGCATCGGGCTGTGTGGCTTGTACCCACCCTACCACTTCAGAGGTTCACCCGCCATACGGATACTGGCACAGTCAACACCCATGGCGTCCCCGAGCTTTGACAGCTCGCAACAATGCCTTTTCCTCCGTCCGTTTCGAACGTCTCCGTGCTCTCTTCACCCGCCAACCCCAGTATGCTATACCGGCTTGGCACCGCCGCAAGGCCGTACTCCCAGTACCCTTCCTGTCGCCCGTAAACAACCGGGCCAGTTTCGGAAGAAAACATCTTTCATTGCGATTTGATGACTAGACTGGCATAACAATTACCTTACGCACTTGCTCATGGTTTCTAGCTGGAGCAGGCAACTCGGATTTTCCACAGTTGACGACCGTCGACACCATGAAGAGGATTTGGATATCTCATCATAACCAGCTTTGCAACTACCTATCTGCTTGGCTGAACCTCTATACTCTTCATCAGCGCCCGTAAGGATCTGAGACTCGAATTCTCACTCTCGGCAAATGGACCAATGATTACGTTTACGGCGTTGGCCGCCCACGGCTGGACTGACGATTTGAGAATCCTCACGCTACACAGTCTCCACGACGGGTGGGAACGGCGGTTCAGTCGAATGATGGCACCTTAAAAGATGATCCTTTTGCATCGCCAAAACCTCCGAGCTGCAATGACAGGGGGAAAAGAAGGCAGAGGCTGCAGTGCTGTGCCTTGTCTTTCGCAACTCAGCATCATAATCGGAATTTCAGGGATGTGCTGCCTCCGGTGGTCCCCGGTGGCCCCCTACTCTCCACCTGGCCCTGCGATCTGTCGGGGTCACGCTGCGATCATGGATCTCAGATTGGCTCTATCACAGAGCCCCATGTGTTTGCCAGCCGACTCAAGACTCGAAGCGTCCTGACGTCGCAGCGACAGGAGTTGCTCAACTCTTCCGGCCCGCACTCTGGAAATTACGCGACACGGCCCTTCTCGCAGCTGCATCACGATAATACTGGAATCTGACATATCCATCTTTAAGCCTTTTTGGTATGTTAACACATGATTAGGCAACTGGAGGCGAACCAAATATTCTCTCTTTGTTTCCTGCTCTCGGCGACACTCCGAGGGATCTTGCGAGCTTTTTGGTTCCCAAGTGCTGCAGCAGTATTCTGTACCAGCGCCTTTTTCCCGACCTGCATCGAGTCCTCTACGAATACGCACGTTTGAAGAAAACAGTGCACGCAAGGGATTTCGCAAACCTGGTCGAGACGATTTGGGGATTAGCCAGCTAACCCACTGCCACCGCCATCGACGGTCATCTTTCGCAGACCTGACAGAGGATATGAGGCTATATCGTCTACAGGACGCTAGGCGTGGCAACCGTGCAACTCTGTTGACTCGATTTTTCGAGATCCGACAGGTGTGGAGTTGTGTAAGCTCTAGACCGTTTTTTTTTTTTCATGGACCATTTTGCGACCCCATGCACAATAACAATCTACTGCGGGGGTTGCACAAGAGTCACATCTTCGGCACTGGACCTGGCCTTATGCAAGCCATGCAGAGACATTGAGAGTGGTATCGAACGCAGTTGTGACGCTGGTATTCCGTAGCCACTGCGAAAGTGTTTGGGTGCAATCCACACCCGTTGACGGCACCGCGGCAAAAGCAAGCAAGACGAAACCATGGCATTCAGAAACAGGCTCACTTTGCCATACCCGCTTTGCCGATGAGTCGAATCCAATTAGACTCTAAGACTCAAGAGCCCAGCTTCCCGTCATCGCTGTTTTCTTGAAGGCTCTTCCAGACACTCAACCGCTGAATCAAGTGGATCAAATTCGAGAGAATTTCTTCAATACTGGAAGCATCTGAATGTGCAACCCCTTGACGGATCACATTTCTGCCAGTCACAATGGCAGTCGGTACACTCTCGGTATTTCCTCATCGGGTCAGTCTCAAACAAGGACAAAGTTATTGAGCAGATCCATTTATTTGCCCACAGGCGAACCCATCCGTGAGACTACAAGTATGGCTAGTTCTCCTATCCAGACATTGTAGCACCCGCGTGTCAAGGCTCGCATGCGCTTCGTCACATATCACATTCACATTGACCAATCGAGTCTGGAGAGACTTCCGCGGGCTTGGCACACACACTGCTGACGCTGCAATACGACTTAGGACTTCACCTGCGACCTTCATTCTCCTGGACACTACGGACGTACTGCAGCGTGTAATCGGCCATCCGCACATCTGCATCACGGAGCGCGAAAGTGACACACGACTTGATCCACTCAGATGGCTACCAATTACGAGTTGCCGGGAGATGAATCACTTGGGGGAATGTCCGCTCAGTAAGAAGATCATAATCGGGTGGCTTGAATGCTGGTTGACATAATCGAGAACTGCCAAACGTCAATCGCCTAAGTGAGTAGGCGACAACGTCGCCATGACCGATTTGTGGCTTGGATGCACCGATTTCGCGCCACTCATTGGCGCGCACAATTTCAAATGATGAGCTACCCTGTCGCCATCGCTATTCTCCTGTCGTGTCCGTGGCCTATGACGAGAAGCGGTACGCATAGTCGCGCAGCTAACGAGGGTTTTCACACAAGGTTTGACAGGCAACTAGGCAGTGAATGCAACAGTTGACAACTGACTCTTTCGTAGGATATTGCTAGGGCGGTGGGTTCCAGCTAGCTGAGCACAGAAACATCACCGTCTCCTAGGAGTCCAGACCCCACCAACTGCCAGGGTTGTTGCGGATTACTGAACAGCTTTGCATGGCGAAGGAAGACGCTATAGAAAGATGAGTTCAATGGGTGCTACGCACCTCTAGGACTGCTCGACGACCCCCCATCGGATGGTGTACGAACCAGACCTACAGACCTGGTTGTTATTGTTCTTGTTGAGTCTCGGGCATCAATATCGATTAAATGACAACTTTAGGCTTCCAGCTGACGGCGACGCTCACGGTTCACCAAGCGAATAGCCTGGCAATGCAGTCTCATCAGGGGACCCATCTCCATCATTTAGCAAGGGCCTCCCGGACCAACCCCGTCAAGTGAAGCTGGCGATCTGGATGCTGTAACTCTTTTACAACTCAGAGCTTGAACCCAATAGCTGGGTTCGAAACCCCAGCAAAAGATGCAGAATGCATCACGATCCATACCGTCGGGTATGGAG